AAACCAATATTTGTCACCTTCCCCAAGGCAGGAGAAAAGGAACAAGTCAGTGTACTAAAGCTCTGGATTCTCCTTAAAGAATTTTGTGCACCCACAAATTCCACTTCCAAGGGCGTGGTGGAGACTTTGAACTGCTTCCCTGGGCTGAAGCCCCACAGCTGAGCTCAAGCAGGACACACTCACCTCCATGAAGGGCACCGCCCGACAAGAAACATCACCCAGCAGCCTCTGCTTGGTGATCTCGTTGAAGATGACAATAGGGAGGCAGAAAAAGAGGACCAGAAAATCCCAGAGGGCCAGGCTCGCAAGGATGGAGTTCCAGGCACTCTTCAGGTAGTAGCTGTGCCACACGATGCACATGACCGACAGGTTGCCCACGATGCCCACAGCGAACACAACCAGAGCCAGGAGCATGATGGCATAGGCGCTGTAGGAGCTCTCGGTCACTGGATACAGGGGGTTCTGGATCTGTAGCCTCTGACCCGGCGCCCCCGTCAGATTACCCCTCAGCTCCTGCCCACTGCCTGGGGCGCCCCCGTCCTTGTCTGGATCGGGGCTGGCAGCCACCACCGGCTTGGTGGGCTGCAGGCCAGCAGGGTGAATGAGCCGGGGATACTCAGCCCACTCCTCAGGCACATACTGCTGCACCCCCTTGGTCTCCTCATCCTCAGTGCCTCTCCTGGATCGGCTCTGCTGCTCCTGGACCTCGGCTCTGTGCCTACCCAAGTGCTGGGCGGCAGCCCCAGAGACCCTACTCAGCCCTGCAGCCAACACCGCAGCAAAAGAGACAGCCAGGGGCCACCGCCACCGCATCGCCGGACAAGCAGGAGGCAGCTGCCCCAGGGAGAGCAGGTGAGGGCAGGGGGCCCAAGTGCTGGGCTCAAGGGAGGCAGCTGGCCGGCTGGGTCCGCCTCCAGTCAGGCGTCTGGCATCACCCGCCCTCCTTCCCAGCCCCCGGGCCCTGGCCCCCGGCCGGGCAGGGCCCTCTGCTGGACACACAGCACTCTTGCTGCCCTCACACATCTCATCCTCCACTACGCTCCTTCTCAGTCCCCACAGAGTGTCAGACGGTGGGGCCCTCAGACAGCGCCTGCTCCAGGCCACTGAGACCATGGAGGAAATGTGGCCTGCCTCGGGCGACATGGTGAGGTGAGACAGAACAAGAATTGCATCTACCTGATTTTAAAGCAAACCGTACATTTGAAACTGAACAATAACAATCACTTTCATTTATTGAACACTTAACTAGGTCCTGGTATTCAACTGGTTTCTCAATTAACGAACCTTACAGCAGTTTTATGGGATAAGTGCTATTATTACTTTTTAATTTTTTTTTTTGAGTCCAAGTCTCATTCTGTCACCCAGGCAGGAGTGCAGTGGCATACTCACAGCCACGGCAGCCTCGACCTGCTGGGCTCAGGTGATCCTCCCGCCTCAGCCTTTCAAGTAGCTGGAACTACAGGCATGCACCACCATGCCTGGCTAATTTTTAAATTTATTGTAGAGATGAGGTCTTGCCAAGTTGCCCGGGCTGATCTCGAACCCATGGGCTCAGGCAATCCTCTCACCTTGGCCTCTCAAAGTGCTGGGATTATAGGCGTGAGCCACCACACCCGGCCAAAAACTTTTATATATACATTTTTAATAAAGACAGGGTCTCGCTAAGCTGCCCAGGCTTGTCTTGAACTCCTGGTCTCAAGTGATCCTCCCACCTTGGCCTCCTGCCTCAGTCTTCCAAAGTGCTGGGATTACAGGTGTGAGCCACACCCAGCCATATTACCCATTTTCCAGATTGGAAATCTGAGGTGTGCAGAGAGCAGTCACTTGCCACATACCTGATACAGGGTAAAACCAGGCCAAGAACCTGGATCTGACTCCAGCCAGTGCCTTTTAGTTCAACGCTGTTCTCAGCAGATCAGAGGCCATCTGTGTGCTTTCCTAACCACACACGCTCCCCCAAAAAACAGCAACAACCAAAAGTTTAAAACACCACATTCTCGAGCTCTCACAAGATCCAGCATGATCAGGCTGCCATGGCCCTGGAGAAAACACCGCATTCTGATTCAAACACGAGACGGATGGGCATTTGCAAAACACAGCTCAGGATACACAACACACTCAGTACATAAAAATGCAAAAGACCTTTGCTGCCAACGAGCATTTGGTCCAGAGGGGGAAATGAATATGTAAATGAATAATTACAATTCAGCGTGATGGATGCTGTGAAAGGCAAGGATCACAAGGCCCCATGCCCAAGGCACCCAGAGAGGCCTGAGGGTTCTGGAAGACCTCCCCAGAGAGGTGTCATTTGAATGGATCCTGAAAAATGGTCATGAGGCTGCTTGACAGACGGTGGGAAGGGAGGGTGCTCCAGACAGAAGACACAGCACCTGCACGGGCCGGCTGTTGCCAGAGTGGGTGCCGTTCCTAGCAAGTCTGACAAGGAGGTGGGCATGCAGGGGTGTGGGAGAGAGCCCAGGTGCTCAGGGCCTGGAGAAGTCCGCAGAGGAGGGGCTGCAGCCAGGATGGACTTTGTGTGGCAGGCCAAGGTGTTTGGGTTGATTTTATCTCAAAGGCAATTGAGAGTATCCCAGATTGTTAATCAGAGAAACATTGACTTGATCAAGCTTTTTTATTTATTTTTTTATTTTTGCGTCAGGGTCTCACTCTGTCACACAGGCTGTCACAGTGCAGTGACACCATCATGGCTCACCACAGTCTCCATTTCCTAGGCTCAGGCAATCCTCCTGCCTCAGCCTCCCGAGTAGCTGGCACTACAGGTGTATACCACCACACCTGGCTTTATTTATTTTTTTTTTAGAGTTAGAGTCTCACCCTGTCGCCCAGACTAGAGTGCAGTGGTACACTCACAGCCACCACAGCCTCGACCTGCTGGGCTCAGGTGATCCTCCCACATCAGCCTTCCAAGCAGTTAGAACTATAGGCGTGTACCACCATGCTCAGCTAATTTTTTTATTAACTGTAGAGAAAAGGTCTTACCAAATTGCCCAGGCTGGTCTTGAACCCCTGGACTCAGGCAATCCTCTTGTTCTGCCTCCCAAAGTGCTGGGATTAGCCGGGCTCGGTGGCTTAGCCTGTAATCCAACACCCTTGGGAGGCTGAGGTGAGTGGATTGCCTGAGCCTGCGGGTTCGAGACCCACCTGAGCAACTTGGTGAGACCTCATCTCTAC